AGTAATTAAAAGATATTGGCCTGTCAAAAGCCCGGGCAATTCTTGCGGAGTGGATTGACCACAAAACTTGATTTGATGAAATCCAACATGTTCTCATCATTCCAAACCAGCAACATAGGTAGCGATTCACAATCGTTGACAAATGATTCAAAAGGGGAAAACTTCTTCAGGGGGGGAAAGCCCTGAACCGGGGAAAAGTTCTAGGGCCTTAATGTTTATTGTCCGGGTTAAAAGGAAAGGAACAAAGAAAAAGTCAGTTTGTGTTTAAGGAAGAGCAACAGAACCTAACTGCATGTAAAAGAAAAGAGAATGGAAGAATCGGGGGCAGGGAAATTGAAATGCACTCCATGCCTTTGTGGTTTCCCTTCCTACGGCTCCGTGTGACTAGTTAATGGCCCAAATCAACAAAAAACACCATACAATTTCATTCCCCCTGTTGTGTGTGTGGATTGTCTTTTTACAACAAATGATGAGGTGGGCTATATACTGAAATGTTTGGACTAAGTGAGAATTTTTTTTTATTTTAAAACACCTGGCCGATTCCCACCAAGGCAGGGTGGGCCCGAAAAAAGAAAAACTTCACCACAAATTTACTCCCTCACTGTCTTTCCAGAAGGGTGCTTTACACTACAGTTTTTTTAAATGCAAAAATTAACACCCCTCCTTCAAGTGACACATTCAACAGCCGTAAAGTATTAAAAAACATTTTGTCCCCTTTCACTCCTAAAAACCCGCCCGTATGCCTGCGGGAAAGTCCAACCCCCTCCACAAAAAACCTCCTTTACCCCTCCCCCCCAAAACCTTTCCTAGGCCCCCCCTACCCCGCCTTCCTTTCATACAGATGATACACTCTTGAAGTTTTTCGTTTCGCCCAAATTCTTCCACATGCCCAAACCCCCTTTAAAAACCCCTTCCTCACCCCTTTGGACAACATTTTTGGTAATCCCGCACCCCCTCCTAATTCCAAATACGAATTCTTGCATTTATTCAAACCCACATTGCTCGGGACAGAATCTCCACTCCTAGCCTTCTCCTCGCTGCAACATTCACCCCCCATGTTCACACCCATATAAGAGCGTTGGTAAAACTATACTCCTACATTCCCCTCTTTCCCTCCAAGGAAAAATTTTTGTTCCACAGACCCCTAATCACCCTCGCCCTTTTCCCCTCATCAATTTTACATTCACCCATCTTTCTTTCCCCACCGTGACCGTCCACCCCCAATTTGAATACATTCACCCCCCCCTTAATCTCCCCCCAAATTTGATTCAATCTTTCATCACCTAACTTTTTGTTATCCTCAAAAACCTTACTCTTTCTGATTCATTTAATTTTTCTTCTTTTGCACACCCTCCCAAATTCCCACCAACTCTAAAATTTCCTTCAGAATCCCCCTTTCCCTTTAAAAAAAAGGGAACTTGCTGTCTTGCCAATCCCTAGGTACCTTACCCTCTTTCCCTACATTTATTAAATAAAGCACCAACCACTCCAAAATTATCCCCACCATTTTCCCCAATTTACCTTTAATTTTCCTTTAAAACTCTCCTCCCCTTTTTTTTTAACTGCCCAAATCCATTTGTTCTCTAGGCTTTCTTAACTTTTAATCTCATTTCCAAAACTTTTTCTTATTTTAAAAAAAAAATTTTGTTGATAACATCTCCCCCAAATTTTCATTTGCTTTTTTTTTCCCATTTTCACCACTTTTCTTAACCTTCTCTTTTTTCCTTTAACTCTTCCCTCCTTGCATCATTTTAAACTTTGAAAAAAACTTCTCATATCCCAAACTTTTTTTTCCCTTAAATTCTCTCTTCACTTTCATCTTTCCCAAACCATCCCTCCTCTTCCCCCCCCGGGCACCCATTTTCCCTGTAACCCCCAAACTTCTGCTAACACTCAAACATTTACTTTTTTTAAAACCAAACCCCTTTCCTCTTCGATCCCATTGCCTTTTGCTCTAAATAGCCCATCATCCTCCAATAGCTGTTTATATTTTCCCCCAAAACTCCCCTCCTCTTTTATTTTTAAAAACCCTTAAACCCCCCTTTTTCCCCGATGCTTCTTTTCCCCCTTGTACCCCATCTCCCTTTTTTACTCTCAGTGTGCTACAACTAGAAAGTGTCTGATAAAAATTTTGGGCCCCTCTATAAAAATGTACATCCTGAAGTTACTAAACGTTTTTTATCTCCCCAATACATAATCCAACAAACAATGTCATTTCGCCCTACATAATATTTTTGGTATCCCTTTTTTTTTCCTTTTTTTAAAAATTTGTTTTAAAAAACTAAACCCCTTTCTTAAAAAAGGGTTAAATAAAAAGGGTTTTTCCCCCTTTATAATTTAAAACCCTGGACCCCAAACTTACCTCCCAAAAACCCCTTTTCTAAAATTTTTTCCCCTTTACTTTAGCTTTCAGGTCCCCTCCCCAATTCCTCCCCTCAGGGGGTTTCAAAGGCTCCTTACATTCACAAAAACTTTCCCCCCAAAAAAATTCTCTCTCTCTCTTTCTGCATTCCCTCTTTTCCCTCCCGGGTTCATACACGCTTTTTATGCCCCCCATTCTCGAAACCCCCAACCTTTATTTTTAATTTCCACTAATTTTTGAATTTACCCCATTCATATTCTCTTTTCTCCTTCCATAAATGATAATTTAACCCTTACTGCTAAACCCTTCCCTTTTCTCCCAAATCTCTCAGATTTTTCTCCAGATTTAATCCCATTTATTTCCCCCCACTGAAAATTTTTCCCCCACCCCCCTTTTAGCTTTGTTTTTCTTAGGGCCAGGGCACCAACTTCTTTTTTATTCATTAAAATCAGCAAACAACTGTTTTTTTTGTCAAACCGCCAACTACATCCACGGGACATTTAAGATCCCCGTTTTTTTAAAAAATTTTTTTCTCCCTTTTTTTTTTAAAAAGTCTACAGGGGGAAGGGGGATACTTTGCCCAATTTCTCCCAGCATTTTAGTCGCCCCATACGACACGCATTGGGTTTTCGGGGGAAAAAACCCTTAATTTTTGAAATGGGAAAAAATGGTTTAAATCAAAGTCACCCTTGGAATGAGGAGTTTAAAAAAGCAGAGAAGGGAAAATCTCTTAAAAAGAAGAGGGAAGGGGGGGGGCAAACTTTTTAAACCCTAGGTGGGAAGAAGTAGATGAGGGGGAAAAAAAAAAGAACTATGGTATAAAAGATCTGTTTATGTTTTATACTAACATCAACACAAACCCCTTATGGACTACATCTATGGTGGGAATGTGAAAAAATGGGGGTTTTAGCAGAGTTGGGGGTTGGTGAGAATAATGTCAAAAATGATGCCACATTAGTTCTGTTAAAAAATAAAGGGGTGTATGAAGGAAAAATTTTTGACAAGTCGTCAGAATTAAGAATCAGGGTTTAAAGAAAAAGGGGAATTCACACGGCCCCAATAGATAAAAAAGACAGGTTATAGAACAAATAGCTCAACCTTTTGGGCCCTTGCAGAGCACCTGGCATTTTTCAATGTGGTACTGTGCATATGATCCAAATCATGAGGTGGATTTCCTATACCAAACATAATGGAAATAAGGGAAAGAACCCAACAGGGGTTTTTTGACAGGAATATTTTGTTTTTTCACACCATTTACCAACACGGTTGCCAATAGTTTCAAAATTGCTGAGTGTTTGTAACATTTTGAGAGAATACGGAATGATAGCACAAGAAAAGGGGCCCCTGGGAGATAATAGGGGAAAGCGTTAAAACCCTTTTCACAAGATTTGTCAAGGATGGATGAAACATCATAATATAGGTTTCACTGCAAACAATGTCTTCCTTTTATTGTTGGCTTTTTCCATTTTTTACACCCTCCTACGCTGTGAAAGACCAACGGTTGTGAAAAGGGAAGGGCACCGAGTGGGGAGGGGCCTGACCTGCATATGAGGGGGTCCTGGGGCCCCCTAAAAAACTTGCTACTCTTGTTTTTTTTGAAAAGCGAGTAACCCTTGAATAAAAAGTATGCTGGAATAGGGAAACATAATTTTTACTTGCTTGTAATCACAAAATGTACCCAGGGTTAATACCCTTTCTAAACAATGAAGGGGTGGAGATAGGGGAAGAGTGAAAAGGGGCGAGAAAGTGAGGGAAACAGTCCAGCTGCTCTCCACCCCCCTATCCCCTGTACCGTACTCTGTATACAATAATAAAACAATTTTTAAATATGATCTGAAATTTAAGAATACTTACTGCTTGAATGCATCTCTAATTAAAAGTGGGTGTTTATGAGAAAATAGGTTTCAAGTTATGAACAACCGACTATTTTCAGCCCTGACTGTTTCTGTGAAATTGTTCACATACAGTGAAGACAAAATCCCTTGAGGAAGAAGTGGAGCAAGTCCCACTGATGGCAATAAGTAATACAGCTGCTGGATTTCTCCCTTTATTCCACACTCAACTTTATAATGGTCCAGAATGCCCAAAAATTTACAAGTTTATGGTATTTTAATTTTTGTTTCTTACAACAAATAGTTTGGGGAGTCACCTTGATGGACAGCTTGAATATAGGGGCTATACAGCTGTACTTTGCTCATCAGAAACAGTGCCAGCAATATTTTTAAAACTGTATATACAGTATCTACAGTTAGGAGGCTGAAGAGTTAAGAATCTTCATGTTATGGCATTCTCTAATTATTCTTGTGACACTTCTACATTTCTTTGAGTTTACTTCATATTCAATACCAGATTTCTTACCTTTGGTATGTAAATTAAACTAATGGAGCACCAGCATTTTCAGTATGAATAGTAAACGCTGAAAATGTGTTGGGAAGTAGGAGAAAGGGAGGTGTTTAGGTAGATGCACCTAAAAAATTATCCCACTAGTATATAAAAAAAATTTCTTGGTAATAATTTTGTCAAACATTTTTTTTTAAGAAAATTAGTCTAATGTATTTACTATGTTATTGTTGTTTTGTGTGAATATCAGTCAAAATCGTCACCATGTTCATTAATGATGACAAGACAAACCTCAGGAGTAGGAGGGCAGCACTCGGGGGATTCAAGAAGATAGATTTTACGGATCCAAAGGTCAAAGAGGTGTCAGAATTTGCCGTCAAAACCATGGATGAAAGGACTAATGAAATTAATGTCAGGGTTATTGAGAAAGTGATCAATGCTGAAGTGCAGGTCAGTAAATATACAATAGTAATTTGTTGTGGGGTGTCCATAATACAATATTTAAATTTTTTTAACAATAATGATATGTACATATAACATACGGGTGTTCAGTATGTAATAAAAAAAAATTGCAAACAGGAACTTTTATATTAATATGATTGATGTTATTTTGAGCAGACAGTAAGTGGTAAAAACTGGAAGCTTCAAGTACAGTTGAGCTGGACAACATGTAGGAAAAATGAACAAGTTTCAGGACTTGAGCACCTGTGAGAAGGACCCCCGTAAACCCCGGAGTATTTGTGACGTTATTGTTTATGAAGTACCATGGAAAAACCACATGGAAGTGACTAACACTATGTACAACTGGGAAGAATAAGTGAGGGAATTAAAAGACACTTGAGGAAAGCTTAAAATTTCCATTATTGTAAAAGGTTTATTTCTCAATGTGGTGCAATCACAGCTCCATTCTTTATATTTTTCTTTTTACAACAAAAAGTTTAAAATTTTTCAATTTAATATTTATTACTCTACAGTCAAAAAGTTTCATAAAAAAGTATCTTGGTTTGTCTAGCATTTTGTTTTATTCAAATTTTATTTTTGTAATTGTGGGGGTTTCCTAATACTTGCTAAAATACCTCGCCCCAACTAAGGTTTTTCAACTAGACTGATTTTTTGCATCCAAAGAAATTCCCCTTCCCTACTTGTATGAGATAAGGCCCCTATGAAAGGCAAGGGTTGAATTTTAAACTATTTATTAACATTTAAAGTTATTAAGCTTAAAAACCCAAATATCTTACTGATAAAGGCAGTACCTTTTACAAAAGACCGGGAAAATGTTTGTGAATTGTTGTGAACCTTTTAGATGATTGAGCCTCTTACTGGATGGAAGAATACATTCACTGAAAAGAGCCTTTGCTTATGTACCTCCTAGACATTTCAACATTCTTTATGTCTGTTCATTTTTCAAGTTCATTTTCATTCTAAAGCTTATTATTCTAATGACCATACTGTCACTCTTGAATATATACCCTAGTACTGGGTATTTCTTCATCACTGCTGTATTTATGGCTGTGTGAGTGACTGTAATTATGTTTTAAAGAACAGGCACTCAAGAATACCAATCCCATTTTATTATTAAATAAAGAATTACTGGTAGACAGATACAATAAATTACAGTATATATATTTTTTAAATTTAGCATTGTAAACTGTTTACATATTAATTTTACAGCCAAAATCATAGTAATGATAATACTGATGAACTACCAAGCATCAGGAGAGGAGAGCAGCCTTGGAGGGTACGAACTGTACAACTAAAAAAAAAAAGGGGGGGGGGGGGGGGGGGGGGGGGGGGGGCCCCCTTTTAGGGGTTTTTAAAGGGAATCTAAAAAATATAAATTTAATTTTGTGTGGGGGATAAAAAAATATTAATTTTTTAAAAAAAAAAAAATTAGTTAAAAAGGGTTTTTAAATTAAAAAAGGGAAAAACAAAATTTTTATTTAATTAAAAGTGTAAATATAAATGGGGAAAATTTAATAAGAATGGAAATTTTGGGAAAAGGAAAAATAAATTTTGCATGGGGGGCCCCCAAAAAACCCCAAATTTTTAATGTTTTTTAAAAGAAATAATGGAAAAACTGGAAGGACCCCATATACAAGGGGAAAATATCTGGTTTTAAAGAACCCGAAAAAATTAAAATACCATTTTTTGTACAAGGGATTTTTCAATATTTAGCAAAAACTAAAACTTAATTTTTTTTTCCCAAAAATTTTTAATAAAATTTCATAAAATTCCTTAGAAAAAATTTTTTAACAAAATTTTTTTTTTTCTTTTTCCCCAAAAATTTTTTAATTTTTGGGTTTTTTTTTAAAAAAAAACCCCCACCATATTTTGAGTTTTGAGATTTTTCGTTCCTAATTTCCAAATTTTTAGAGCTGTATTTTTTCCCATGAAACAAAAAAAATCAAAATTTTTTTTTTTTTTTTTATTTTTTGAAGTTTTTAACCCTTTAAATCATCCAAATACTGGCTGATATCCCAAAACCCTTTTTCAAAGGGCTTGGGAAATTTTTGGGAATTGTTACAAATCTTTTAAAGATTGAGCCTAAGTTGTTGGGGAAAAAAACACTCAAGAAAGATCCTCTGTATGTATCCTAGAAGTTAACAGGGTTTTTAGTGGTGTTAAAACTTGGATTATTATTATAATAAAAAAGAAGCGTAAAAACCCCCAAGGGGATACACCTGCAGGGGAGGAAGGAAGGGGGTATTGGATGGCAGAAGGAGGGGGATGATCTAGGTTACAGAAAAAAGCGGGGCAGGGGAGTACGGGGGGAGAGGAGCAAAAAAAAAGTAAAAGGGCTAAGGTATCAGAATTTTTGAAGAAAATCAGTTGTTGTCAAAAAGCAATGAGAGAGTTGGGTGAAAGGTGGGTCCATCAGCGGAAAAGGGGAAAGGAAAGAGAGAGCAGCGGAGCGAAGACGACGACGGAGGTAAAAATTTTCGTGCTCGTTGAAAATTTGGGAGCCCAAAACAGAATGGGGCCCTGACGTAATGGAATTTGGGGAAATTTCCCAAAACAAGGAGGGGGCCCCCCCCGGGCCCCCTCCATGAATATCCATGAGTAAAAATGAGTTGGCCCAAATTTTGCAAAAAGGGAAGAGTATCTCCCAACCTCGACACGGGTGATAAGAAATGGCCCAGAAACCCTATCCCCGGGTTTTTAATAAGATTGAAGTTTTTTTGCTGAGCAAAGTAGCCCCACGTTTTTTTCCCAAACGGGTGTAAAGGGTTTGGGAAAAATTGCAGCAAAATAGCCCAAAATTTGGAATACCTCTAATAAAACTGGTAGGTAAATGTACTGGCCCCGCGCACGGGGCCTGCCCTTTTTCATTGCCCTGTAGGGTTCAACAGGGACCAGGGACCAAAAAAAAAAAACAATATTTTTATTTTGGAAAAGAAAGCGGCATACCCAAATTTGGGAACGGGGACTAAGGGGTGAGGTGTACCCAAATTTCTGTATAGCCTTTTAAAGCACAAAAGGAGTCTGAGGGCAACCAAAAAAAGAAACACAGGAAAAGATGCAATCGGATAAGTGCTGTAAGGATGGCATACAATTCACCCTTAAAAATACTAGCCGGGGATAGTAAATCCCCTTGTAAAACGATGCCCGGGAAAAAACACTGCGCGAATCCTACCCCGGCAGAAGACTTAGAGCCATCTGTGTAAAACAGAAAGGGCATGAGAATGAGATTTGGAAAGGGTCAAGAAAAAAGAAGGGGGAAGCAACCGTAAAAAAGGTTGGGCTTTCGGGGAAAAGGGGAAAGAGAGAAAAAAAACAGACCAACAGGGGGAACTTCCCAGGGGGTAGGGAAAATGAAAATTGCAAAATTTACATAAAAAAGGGGGGTAAATTGGAAAAAAGGACAAGAGCGAAATAAAAGGGAAAAAGAAAAGGGAAGGAGAAAACCCAGGGGCGGCGAAAAAAAATAAAGAATGTCTACAAATTTTCAGTAAACCTTTCTAAAAAAAATGGAAAAAGGAAATTGGGGAGATAATGAAAAGCTTTCATAGTAGCGAAGGCAATGTGCAAAACGGCGTGGGAAAAAAAGGATGGAAAACGTTCGCTTCTGCTTTAGAGGCTCCTCGAAAGGGGAAAGGGGAAAACCCACCAAGGAAAAAACCGAAAATTTTTGTTTTAGGGAAAAGGGGTTAAGGCTAGGAGAGTGGGCAGGAGAGGGCCGTTTGAATAGATCTGGTCACCAAAATAAATTTTGGGAAAAAAAATAAGGGGGGGAATTTTGGGAAAAAGGAGGGTTCGCAATCATTCCCCATGAAAAAAAGAGCAAGGGTTTTAAAAAAAGGTTTCGGGCCCCCCGGCTGTGAAAATTCCCTTCAAAAAGAGGAAATTGTGGGGTTTTCCCGGGAAATAACCTACGAAAAAGGGGGGGGCCCAAAAACCCTTAAACTGTATACGTTCTGGGATACGGGACCCAAAGAGGTACAAAAGGAAATTTTGGGAAAAGATGACAGAGCGCCCTAGTAAAAAGTAATTTGGGGGGGGCTTTAGTGTTTGGAAAATTTAAACCCCTTTGTGGTGGCTCAATTGGAAACACGGTTCGACGAAATCCGGGGAAGGAAAAACGGGAAATTTAAAGGGGTGACGCCCACCCGCCCCTGCACAGGCAATATGAAGCCCATCAACATAGGGTGTGCCCAAAATATTTAAATGGAAGACCTAGGGGCCCAAATCATTAATACAAGGGAGAAAAAAGTGTTGGGGCTAAAAGAACAACCCCTGGGGGGACACCTTTCCCGTTTTGGTTTAAAGTTTGGGGAGAGAAAACTTTAAAAAAAACCCAAAACCCGGAAAAAGGTTCCCTGTCAGTTTAAAAAGTTCTTAAGGAAGGAGGGTGGGATTGCCTCAAACCCCCAAAGGAGGGGGGCTTGGGCAAAAAAATATTATCCCTCCAAGTTGTGTCAATGCCCTTCAAGGTCAAAAAATAGGGGCAATAACGGGAGTGGTTATTGAAAAGGGGCATTACGAACTTTACGTACCCAAATCGTAGTAAAGGGGTCTATGGTAGAACGCCCCCTTTCCGAAACCCATTTTTAATGATGGAGGGGACTTTTTGTGTGTCCCAAAATTTACCACACAAAAACTTTAAAATTTACTAGGCTTTCCCCCATCACTTTGCAAACTCCCACTGGTAAAGCAATGGGCGATAGTGGGAGGTTTAAAGCCCCCTAGTCCGGGTTTGCGGAAAGGGAGAAAAAATGGCGGATTTCCACGGGTGGGGAAAAAAATCCGTGCCCAAATAAGATTGAAAAGGGCCCGTAATAGGACTCAAGGGTGACTGATTTTAATTTTGTGCAAAACGAATATAAAATTTCTTCGGGCCCAGCCCCAAAGTTTGGGCAACGAGAATTTTTCCCCCCCCGTTCTTGAATTGTAAAAGGCCCTTTATACTATTCTTTTTCGGGGGGAGAAAAAAGTCCAAGGGTGCTAACTTT